ACGCGTGTCCCCCGCCGCCGGTGAGTGCGGCGGCCATGAGAACGGTGGCGATTATTGCGGCGGCGGCGGACATGTTTTTTTTCCCTCCGGCGAAGAAGCGTGAGAGTTTTAGTTTGTTGGTGAAAATGGGGGAAAAGTGGTAGCTATAGGGACTATATAGTTAGATGTTGTGTATTGATGTGTATTTATGTCTATATCACCTAACCGTATCATTTTTTATTTTATTTTATTATATATTTGTATATATTTACATATAATTTCTATATGTATATATAGGGACAAATAACTTCGAATATGTGGAATTTTCGGGAATTTATTAATTATGGTAAAAATGTTGTTTTTATGAGAAAAAATGGAAAAAATTGAAAGCATCACCCGTGAAGAAAGGGTAAAAAGATTTCACATGTTCACGATACAAAAATGGAAAAACGTAGCTTTGGAACGTGATATATATACGGTACGTATATAGGAAGTTAAATAAAATGTGATTATTTTTTAGTTTTAAATTGTATAGATTGTATTAAATAAAAATAGAAACAGGTTACGCAACTTCGTTATCAATAAAAATATATTCTTAATAAATATATTTTATTGTTATTAAAATACGTCAAATCATTTTCATTAATTCTACAGACGATCGTTCTAATCAATTTTAAAAGTTTATGATGAATTATTTTATTTAAGTTAATTATTGTGATATAATAAATTATAGTTCGATAATTCGTTCACCTTATCTTCAAATAAGGCAGAAACTATATACGTTTTATATGCCTTTATAGTTTATATATATATATAGATAGATAAAAAAAAATACAATGATTATTAAACTCAAAATATACACAATCTTTTGTTTGCTTTTGTAACACATAAGGCTTTTCATTCGAATTATTATTATTATTATTATTATTATTAAAAATGTAAAAAAAAACATTGAGTTAGGCAATGTAGTTGGGATGTGGGCAGGTTTCCCTAAAATGGGGGGTGTGGGTCGTTTCGACATCAACAGGTTGTCTTTCATCATGCAACCTTTTTTTTTTTGGACAAAAAAAATATTTATTTGGTGTGAAATTTCAGGTAATTAAATAACTCAACTCATCGTCACCGTAATATATGGTAAGTGGATCTTCAGTTATATCATTATTTTCTCTTAGTAATATTTTGTATCATTTTTTACAAGAGCCACGGCAATAACCTATCCAAATTTATATAATTATATTTCAGATATTATAATATCACGGCAATAGGTTGAGTTGATATTAGTGGTATTTAGAAAAAAAAAATAGAATTTGTTTTGTCAAATTATTTTATTTTACATTTTTCAAATATTTTTTTTTTTACTGAAATATATGAATGAGTCGGAAATTTTTGTTTTGTTCCCTAGGGATATTCACAAAGTCGTTGACTTTATAATCCTAGCAATTAGGGATTGCTAGCTTATTTGCTACTTTTACTAAATAATAATAATAAATAATAATAATAAATGAATAGTCCAACGCTAATCACATTCTAATAAAACACCAAATCCGAAATTAATACAAACCCAAGCGATAAAATATGCTCGCTCCCTTTCATTTTAGATGACATTTTAGAATAAAATTTTTGTTTCAAAATAAATGACGTTTTTAGATTTTCAATGTATTTTTTAATATTTATCTTTAATTAACAATATTTAATTATTCTTCATGTTTAGAGATAACAATTATCTATACAATAAGGGTATTTTGGATAAAATAATTTTTTTCTAGAATTCTTAAACTTAAATGAAATGGGAGTATGTGACGATAAAAGCCTTGTTGTTCCTTGGAGTTGTCGGTTGATGCATTGAGAAGCGTAGGAATGCATTTAAGACCGATCACATGAAAAATCACACACATTGTCATATATATATATATATATATATATATAATAAAGAAGGCAAGCAAGGTTGTGGATACGCAGTTAATGAATTAGATAAGCAACCACATGCCACATTCATAACTTCGAGCTGTTTTAAGTTGGCTTTTTTTTTTTTAAAAAAAAAAAGAATACATAAATAAATATAAGTAATTCCAATTTTTTTCTATAATATTTTTAAAAAATAGTATTTGCCAAAATTTGACATAAACTGTTTTGAGATATGAAAAGGATATATACCAGAGTCTTCCGCTTGTGTTACCTTTTATTTCGACGGCGTATATTGTTTTAAATAAAGACCTACGATTACGAACTCATTTGAATATATTAAATTGGAAACCCTGAAAATGGGGTTTCTTCTGGTTTTGAGAGAAAAAAAAAAGTTTTTTTTTTTCATTTCAAGGGAAGAGATCCTGCAAGTCGAGAATGTCGGCAAGAACGCCAGCAGCTGTGGTAACATTACCAGCTCCAGCTCCTTGAATCACCAATGGCTTCTCTTCGTAGCATCTGCTGTATATCTCCACCTGCGTGTTCCCACAAAGACGAACGTTTTTATCGTTACATAACGAACCCGAACTGAGACCGAACCGAATGCATTGTATAGTTCTTCTTATACTGAAACCCGAACATAATCAAACCGAAACAGCCAACCCCAATAAACACATAAACCTTTTACTTTACATGGTATCAGAACCGAGCTAAATCCACATGAGTACCTTTATCCTCATATCATTTGCAAACGGTGCAAACATATGTGTAAGAAAGACAGGATAGTTCGATGGCACCATTGAAGAGAAGAGTAAGGAAGACTTACGATATTATCGCTCCCTCGGAGTCTTCCCAACGGCGAGTCTTTAGGGAGTTCTCGGATGCCAACCTCAACACTGCAGAGAAGAGAAGATGAGATTCCAAATGAGAGGAGAGTTTGGGTATAACGATGCATTTAGGATAGGTATAATCTTTATATCGAGAGTGAAATGTATCGATATTATACCTTGAGCCCTCGATAACGCAGACGTAACGGAGAACACACCCTTTCGTTGAAGCCCTTTTAACTCTCTCCTCGATATTCTTATCGAGTTTTGCTATTCCATCGGCAAGGAAATCATCAACAGACAACTGGTTAGGTCCCATCTCCTCAGGGTACAAGCTCTCTACCTGATCAAAACAAGAAAAAACATTACAAATATTTCCTGACAGATTATCAGGAAAGACAAGTTACTAAGCCAGAACAGGACAGAGCTCAGCCAGTTTAAAGCTCAGTTCAATCTCAATTGCTAAAAGAGAAAACTGAGCTTGAATCTGCAGCCATGAACTTGCGCTAACAGCAATCTCAGCTTGGTTCAAGTAGAATTTTTCCCTGAATTAAGTCGCATCAACCAAGAAAACATCGCAATACTGAATGCAGAAGTTGCAAAATGTGGCATAGCCAATGGGGTTCACACCTTTATGCTGTCCATATTGATCCTCCTCCCGAGAAGTCGAGCAAGAATCAAAGCCTATAAATTGATATAAAACAGAAAGAGATGAGAAGACACAAGTTTTAAAAGCATTTGCGCGGAATGAGAAATCAAACTGGAATTCCGATGCATTTAATCTATTATCATGGTGAATTTAAAAGAAGATACAGCAAAAGCATCAATATCAGGTCCAAGCACAATATCATTCATATGCTAAACTGGATGAAGAAAGCAGACAGCAGCATCAACTGGTCATCATTACTCCCAAAGATAGAGAGAGAGAGATCATCAAGAACATCATGAAAATTCATAAACATTTCAAGTGTTACTATGACATTATCTCGAAGCACTTAAAGAAAGTACAATGCATCTTCTTACTCCATACCTTTCTCGCAACATCCATGCCACCAAGGTCATCTCGTGGATCTGTGGGGGGGAAAAAAGCCAAAGAGGCAAAATTACATGTCAATCAAAGAACAGATATCAGCTACAAAAAAGGCCCTCAAATTCGAGAAAGCCTAGGTGCAGTGATAGACATGTAGCTTTTAGCTTAGAGAATGTAATCTACTACAAATTAAAGAAAGAACAGGAATTAAACAGAAGATCTGATATAGCTAAAAGTTTTTCAACAAGCAATTTAGCTACAAATATTATGTAAGTCAAGATTTTGGTAATAAAACAAAGACTTGAACTCGAGTAAGACAAAAGATCATGAAATTGCATAAAAACCTGGTTCTGTGTACCCCAGGCTTTTAGCAGCCTTAACAACTTGGCTTAATGGCTTCCCATCTTCAACCTCACTCATAACATATCCCAAAGTACCTGTCATAAACCAGAGTTGATTTTTTTAAATACCAATAAATTATGGATGTATAGAAGTGGAGGAGAACATACATAAACATGCACAGTAGTGCCAAAGTAAAATCAATTCTAGAAGTATCATTACCACTCACACTACCAACAATTTTGTGGATGGGGTCTCCAGATGAAATCATGCGGTTCAAAGATGCTATAACAGGAAGGCCAGCACCGACCTATCAAGAACAGATATCAAGTGAAAAAGCTTCAGACTTTAATCATGTAGTAGCTTATAAGGCCAACTATCACCATACTTGAATACCCCATGGAAAAATTCTATAAATTTGTTTATGTTTCGTTTCGATTCGATTTCAAAGTTAAAATACTAAAGGAGTATATCTACTTTGCTGAATAATATATCAGCGGCCACCTCTGATATCACTTCATTCAGGAAAAAAATCACTTACAGTAGATTCATGGCGGATCCGACGCGGATGCAACACTAACTTATCATAATGTTCCTGCAAATAGAGGAGAAAATATGGGGATTTCTAAACTATGTGATAAATGTATGTGGCATAACATTTTTGGGGAAAATTAATATTTACTACAACTATAACATCAGCCAACTTAATCTGAATAAAGTCAGTGTAGATACAAAGAAAGACTAAACACGTGGCTGTTTACAAAGCTTACTAAAAGTTACAGAAGTTACAAAGTAGTCTACTTTGCTCGAATCAACATAAAGTGCCCCTTGTCAACAAGTTTGTTTAATGCATGCTAATGACACATCATAAGACAGCCTAAAGGGAGAAAAGCAGCAACTGTGTGTGAACATTTTGAATGCCCTTTTGTTTTCACAACCAGACGCTGAAAGGAGTTACCATTGTTGAAGTAAGAGGCTTCTTATTTGCCAGGACGATACAACAACCCGAATCAACTGCCTTCATCAATAATTCAATTGTATCCATGCTTGCTGAGCAATCCACAAAGGCCAAGCCTATAGCAAGACATGGTTTACAATCCATAAGAACTCATGTAACAGCCATGTATGGAAAGCCTACTGAAGATCATTGTACAAGGCTTTCAAGGTTCCAAAAGGATGATCATGGATAAGTATTAAGTAGCCATGTATCTGGTACAAACCTGTAGATTTACCCATAAGTTCTGCAATTTCTTTGGCTTTCCTTCTTGATTCGGAACCAGTGAACACTTGATATGAACCTATTTGAGGACACCTAATAACAGTGAGAATTATAATCTGACTCATGATAGAAACCCAAATACGAAAGATTTGTCTAAAGTACCAAATGCAGATAAAGGAGAGCCAGCCGATTTGATACGGCAAACTTCAGACAAGGCATTGTCATTCAGTTCCTCTTTGAACACATCAGATGGAACGACCAAAGATTTACTATCGCAAACACCAACGACCTGCAAATGAACTCCCTGTCGAACCGAGCTACAATTTTAGATCTTCCACTTCAAGAAAAAACTCAAATCCAGAAACTTTGTCCTAAAATCTGAAACAAAGGAACTACATTACTGCGTAGAATCCTGAAACCGAGATTTTCCTTTTCACTTGGGGAACTTTGCTCTCTGAAATCTTATGTTTCAGACATTTGACCCCAAACACATGTCCCATCCTATCAAAATTTTCAACTATATGACACAAACCGAGATTACTATGTGCGTGAAAAGCCTTCCTAGACAGGAGAAATCGGAATGAGACTATCCAGAGACCGATCAATCGACAATATCAAGTTCTTCATAATCGAGTCACCGCAGAACGATTCACAAAGCATAAGTAACAACAACCCACTTCGGCCACCACTACAAAATCAAGCTATCGAGTGTACAAAATCCCGGTCGACGGGTGAAAGCAGTGAATTTGTGGGAAACGAAGCAAAATAAGGAGAGAGGAGTGAAGAGAAGGACCATTAGGGCGTGAAGAGATCGGCAAGAGACGATGTGATCGAGGAGCTGGCGACCAACGCCTCCACAACCCATGAGAATCACCGGGATTTTCTTCATCTTTCTTCTCCTTCTTCTTCTGAAGCTTTCTTCGGATTCTGCGTTCGCGAGATGAGTGAGTAATGGCTTACTGGTTAGACTGCTGCAGAGCAATTCCCAAAATGGCGTCCTCGAATTGTTTGATATTTATTAAAACCGAAAATTGCAAAAAAGGTACCTATACTTTTCTGTTTTATGAAATTAGACTTCTTTATTATGTTTTCTGAAAACACGTTCCAAAGGGACCGAATTGTAATTAATAGTTTTTTGAATATTGCAGATGTAATTAAATTTTTTTTAATTAGAATAGAACCCCACATCTAAAGTGATCCAAATATCGACCCATCGGATGACCCGATTACCCGCTCCATTCCGTTAACACGGTTTACTGTTCAAGCTTTTTCAGTACCCTTCTTCTTCTTCTTCTTTTTTTTTTCCTCACAAGTACTCATTTTTCTCCAGATCTCGGCGATTTTCTTTTCGCTTCTCGAAACTCCGGGAACATCTCAATGTGAATGCTTGTTTCGATTTGAATTTGATTGTTTGTCTAAGACTCAGATCGTGGGTTTATATTGATCTGCGATCGACGAATCGAAGCGCGAAAATTTTTGCTCGGAAGCAAATTATCGAAGAGCGAGCGAAGTTCATAGATTCATCGGGAGAGAAAGAGGATGGATAGTTTCAGCGCGGAGGATCTGTCGACGATCGGTGGAATCGCCACTGTTTCTCTTCTGCATTCGTTTATTCCGACGCACTGGTTGCCGTTCTCCATTGTCGGACGTGCCCAGAAATGGACGCTTTCTCGAACTCTCTTCGTCAGTATGTTTCTCCTCGTCTCTTGGATTTTGATCTTTTGAAACATTCCTGGATTTTTTCTTGTTTTCCTTCGTACATTTCTTGGTTGTGACTAGGGTTTTGAATGGTCGATGGTGATGCGCATTTGATGCGTTCTCTGAATTTGATAAGTCGACAGTGTGTAAGTTAACTGGTTGCTTATTCGGCCATTGTATCTCCCCTGCTTTGGCTTCGATTAAGCTGTAAAAAGATAAGTAGCAGCAGGAGATGAATGAGTTGGTAAATCTGTTGCTTGTGGAAGGATTATGTAATATTCATTGTTGGATCCGTGTCTCTTTCGCATCTAAGAACTGATATGAAGCCCTTAGCTGTGTCATGGATGTTGATGTGAGAGTGTGGTTCTTGTCATCCTGAGAAGACAGAGAGATATAAGGTGGATTGAAATGGTGGCTTTGTGTTAAAGTCTATTATAGTTGTGATACTTCTCGAACAAATTTCCATTCTCCGAACAAGTAAAAGTTCATAATGTGACGGTCGAGAGAGTTGGGATTACTCCTGAAGATGCATAATGTTTCAGTAGTGAAAGTTTTGATGATACCTTTTCCTTTCGATCCTGAAAGTTATTTGAGAGTTGGGTTTATCCATTTTTCAATATTTTGGTAATCACATTATTTGCTTTCTAAGCAAGACTGTCACTTGTTTAGAAGAAGAAGGTTTGTTTCTTAGGGATTTGCTTGCTCATATGATTCCATTCCATTGGGGAATGCCTGAACCGTTCTATAATTTTAAGGTCGGGAACTATGCTGGACCCGTTACTTCTTAACCTCTTTAATGTACTCCCTAAGCTTAAGAAACTTTACTTAAGTTTTTATACTAAATATGGTTGCACTACCTGGTTACCATGGTTATTCTTGTACATGTGAAAATGCAAACAGGCTTATGCATGTGCATACTATCACAGATATGCAAGTTGTGTTTATATGTTGGATGTCAGATTCTTATCCTTTCCGATGTTTCTAATGTCACTTTTATTTTCCAGCTGCATTTGGGGCAGTCCTGCATGTCATATCGACTTCGCTTCTTGGTATAACAGCAATCACTATTTCAAACACCATTGCTGGTGAAGAGACAGTCCACAAACTTGCTTCGCTTTTGCTTGTGATTCTTGGCGGATGCTACATCATGCTGTTTTTATCTGGAAAGGGTGGTCACTCTCATTCTCACAACCAGCCTATGGAGAAAATGGCTGTTGCTGGGCTTGTCCTCGTTCCTGCCCTATCTCCTTGTGCAACGACCCTTCCGGTTTTCCTTGCTGTTGGAAACTCAAAGCCGATGATGATTCTTGCCATCCTAGTTCTTCTAATCAGGTTAGACAACGACCCTTTCTAGGATTTTTCCTCTGCTTTCATATATTTTGATCTCACCATCAATCCGAGGAGGAGGCTCTATGTTTATGGTTTTGACTTGCTTTTCCTTTTCATTCAAGACATGGATGATATATATATACACAAGGGAAAGAACAGAAGTATAGTTGTTGATTTTGACAGCTCCCCTGTTCTGACATAAGCTATAGAAGAATAGTTTCTGTCACATAGACACCGATAGATACACCTATAGAAAGATCTCTTCCACGGCTTGTATCGATGGTGCAGCAGTAAACTAAATTTCTACCATGCTTTTTCACAAGACATGGGACTTAGAATCATTAGCATTTAAGCTTGTTTTCTGCAAGTTCTGCAACATCTGAGGCCTGCCATCTCTGCTTGTTATCTGTTGCATTAAAGAAACTACCGGGAAATCGGAATCACTCCTTACTTTTACCAAAGTATTCGACAGGTAGCTTAAGCCGATGACTAAGATATCGATTTCTTTGTTTTGGACAGCACAATAACCGTGATGACATCTCTGGTGGCTCTATCGTTCTACGGGGCCAGCCAGCTGAAATTCCACTGGGTGGAACGGTACGACAAACTCCTCCTGGGCTCGGTCCTCTGCCTCGTAGGTATCCTAACTCTCCTTTTCCATGATCACCATGGTCATGACGAAGGTCATCATCATCATCATCACATTAGAAAAATCATCTCTCTCTAAAAAAAAAGATCTCTGTGAAATCCGTAAAAAGTTCCGTTGGAGGAGGAGGTGTCGTTAGATAGTAGCTGAAGAAAGGTACAAACTTTCTATATGTAAAACCATGTTTTTTCTTTGCATTTGGTATCTGCTTCGTACATGCAACCATCTTGTTATAATCTTTTGTGTTCTGTTTTTTTTTTTAGTTGAAGAAAGCGTTTGATGGTGATTGCATTGTTGAGCTGTAGAGAATGTGTAGATTCATACATACATATATATATCGTATTTAATTTTTTTTTTTAGATAATCGGATGTTATATACCGAATTCCACGAAAAAATTTATAATGTGAATCTCTATTTTATTCTAATGTGTAAAATTAATAATAAAAATAATAATATTTGTATGTTCATCAGTACAACTATTTAATATTATATTTTTTTTTCAGATCCTATGATTAATAGTCTGATATTAATTTTTCCCAAGTCTATCACTGTTGGAATCCGTGAAAAATTCTCTATATAAAGCTATTTAAGATATATATATACATACATATATATATATATATGTATATGTGGCTTGATGGCATTAGGGACAACATAAAATAGAGAAGAGGAATGAGGAGCATAGTGGAAGTTGGGTAGTATTCCAACACCTATTAGAAAAATGCTCTCGTATCTAATTCCATCATCCCATATGCTCTCTCTCTATATATATATATATAACATCACAATGTATATACAGATATATGCGGAACAGATGCCCATATTCTCTAATAAATATATCTGAGTAAAATATTATTAATAACACTTAATACGTTGTTATTATTATATATAAATTAAAGTATATAGAAAAGTGTGTGTGTATATATATGTATAAAGTAAATTCTAATCTCCAAAGGTCAAGTCTCCAATTTTGACAAGGGCTGTAAAGCCTTTGACTTTGGTGGTTGGAAAACGTGGCCCACACTCCCAATTTCAAAATTCATTTACAATTTAATGCTTTACAAATATTTTTAAATATCCAGTCCTTTTTTACATGCTAAAAAATATCATTATATTCCTAAACCATTAATTTTACTGAATTTAAAATAAAACAGACTAATGCATCTCTTTGTATATTTTTTTATTAAATAATCGTCAGAATTCCCAAAATTATTCCCCAAAAAATTACATTAAAAAAAGGAATAATAAAAATTAAAAATGAAAAAGGAGGTTGGAAAAAAGCGAAACTTAAAGCAGTATTTCTCTCTGCCATTCCCAACAAAGCGATCTTCAGAGACGCCTTCTTCTTCTTCTTCCATCAAGGGCCGATAGAAGGAAACCCTAATTTCATCTCCGATAGGAAAATTCCCCGTCTCCGGTTTGCGATTCTCTGTCTGTAACCATCCGGCGGTCAAACATGGCGGCACAAAACAGTTTTAGGGAGCTCTTCGTTGCTTCGTTAACCCTGGCCTTAGCTTTGATTCGCATGGCTGAGGCTAACTCCGAGGGCGAAAAGGGCAAAAAAAGAATGAGAAAAAGTGAAACCGAGTGATATTTCTCTCTAAATACGATCGCATAAACGTCTTCTTCTTCTTCCACAAAAGGGTTGAAACAACGAAACCCTAATCTCATCTCCGATCGGGAAGTTACCGGTCTCAGATTCGCGATTATCTCTCTCTGTAATTCTCTGAACATCGGACATGGCGGTGCAACGCGGTTTTAGGGAGCTTTTCGCTTTTTCGCTAACCCTAACCTTTGCTTGGGTTTACCTAGCGGAGGCCAACTCCGACGGAGACGCTCTTTACGCGCTTCGTCGGAGCTTGTCGGATCCAAACAACGTGCTTCAGAGCTGGGATCCGACGCTTGTTAACCCCTGTACCTGGTTCCATGTTACCTGTAACCAAGACAGCCGCGTCACTCGAGTGTAAGATCCTCTCTCTCTCTCTCTCTCCCCTTGTCGGCACCGAAATTTATTGCTGTTTGGGAAAATTGATTCGTGGGGAATCTATGGAGTTGCTATTGCAAATGATCGGTTTCCTGTTGTATTACTCAAAATTGACTATTTATCTCCTGATGAATTTCCCCGCTAATTTTAGGACAGAGAATTCTGGGTTTCATGCTATTTTTAACTAGGATTAATAAAGGAGTTGCCTTGTTTCTGTCGATTTCTGCTTGACCCTGAGCTTGAGCTTAATTCTAACGTTTCTATATGCAAACCTTTTTCGTAGAAGGCCGTATTCTCTATCTAACAATTGATGAATATGGTTTCTTTGCCTTTCTTTAGTTTCCGACCATACAAGAATTCGCCTTTTTTGCGCGATTGCGTCTTGTGACTGTTCAATTCTGGGTTTCTATTGTGCTATTAGATTCATAAGTTAAGGGGTTGTTTTTACGAGATGTCACTTGTAGCAGCTTCAGTTACAAAGTCACACGAAAGTAACCATCTTCAACTTTTTCAATGTACAAAGTGGTGAAACAGAGTTTTCCGCTGTTATGAAAGTAGATAAGATGTCTAGTGAGTAGATTCCTCACATTGTCGTTAATAGTAATTCCAGTTTTTAAAGCAGTTTGATCTATTGGCACCTCTTACTTTTCACTGCTTTTTGAGTTTGAACAGGTGTCTGGAATCTTTAGGATTGATCCCAGCTAATTATCTCTTGTTACTGTTTGATTATTAATGAATCAATATAAGTAGCCCGTTGGGTTTATCCAAGTTAGCCTTTTGTCCTTTGTTGTGCTTTCATTATCTCTCTCCCTTTGATATAAGACATTGATAGTGTGTTCTCAGAAAGTATCTTTAATGTGATCCTACAATTTTGCAGGGATTTGGGTAACTCGAACCTATCTGGACATCTTGTGCCTGAACTTGGAAAGCTTGAACATCTACAGTATCTGTATGCCATTGATTGTTCTTTCGGCTTTTCTCTTACAGTTGATTTTTTCCTAACGGAAGCTGTCATGTAATATAGATAGACAAATAAGCACGGGTGCACGTATGGGACCAAAAGTGTCGAGTTTAAGATTGTTCATGTTATATACAGTTTAATATCAACCATTGACTTGTCCTTTTGTTGATGCAGGGAGCTTTACAAAAACAACATACAAGGAACTATACCTTCTGAACTTGGAAATCTGAATAGCCTCATCAGTTTGGACTTGTACAACAACAATCTCACAGGGAAAATTCCTCCCTCGTTGGGGAAATTAAAGTCTCTTGTCTTCTTGTAAGTTGTTATTCCACTGCAGTTACACTTATTTATTTTGTTCCTTTAAAATACATACAAGATTTGTGTGTGTGTGTATATATATATATGTATGGATGTATTCTGTTTTTTTTCTGTAACTTCATGACTCTTAAGTAATTGTTTAACATGGCAGACGGCTTAATGATAACCGATTGGCTGGTCCGATTCCTCGGGAACTCACGGGTATCTCAAGCCTCAAAGTTGTGTAAGTTCAGCTATTCTTTTGTTCGGTAGATAGCGGTGATGTTACTTGGAACTGGGTGTTACTGCATCTTTATATTTATATCATCTAAACAAGCTTTCTTTCTCATCCTTTTTGTAGAGATGTCTCAACCAATGATTTATGTGGAACAATTCCAACCTCAGGCTCTTTTGAACACCTTCCTCTGGAGAAGTAAGATCCTTTCTCCTTTGTTTCAGCTATAACTTAAGGAATCTATTCGAAACATCGTTTTCAACTAACTCTGTGATCGTGCTCTTCACTCTTGACTTTCCCTGTCCATACTGAAGAATGTTTCTTTCGTCTTTTCTATTTCATTGAACCTATGGCTTCACTTTGCGGATGGGTATAGATATTTCTACTGAAGTTTCATGCAGGGCTATACGTATACGATACTAAGAAATGAGTGTGGAACCTGTATATCCGGAAAAAGGAGCTTAAAGTCTTTGTTTCTTGTTTATAAGTTTTAGATTCTCTTGTCTTTTCCCTTTATCCAATTTGATATATGATGGGTATTTCCCGTTGTATGTAAGATAGTTTACGGGCATTGCATTTTCTCCAAAACCCGCAACTAAGTTTCAGTTTTTTCGAAAGGACGGTGACCAGACCATAACTCCTTACACAGAACATGTCACAACTATTATTACTTGTGTTGTTGTGTGCAGCTTTGAGAACGACCCGCGGCTAGAGGGGCCAGAACTGCTTGGCCTAGCAAGCTATGACACCAACTGCAACTGAAAGAACCCGAACCCGAACCCGAAAAATCCAGTGGGGTGACCTTGTAAGAACTCATGACCCTTTTACATTATGAATATATATATATATATATGTGTGTGTGTGTGTGTGTGTACTATAAGAAGAAGAGAATTTAGAAATGTTATCGTATTAAGAAGAGGTGTACTTGGAGAAAAATCCTCTTGGTGTATGTATATCGTATTGTTAGTGTCTGTCTTTGCGTTTGTCTTCATTGTAAGCCATTCAATCTTATTTTGCATGGCCTTTGGTATTGTAATATGACACTTTAAAACCCAAAAAATATTTGGTAACATAAATGGTTTCTTGATTTGGGATTTTGGGTGGTTAGTTCCTGTCTTAATTCTTTTGCTTTTTTTTTTTTTGTTTAACTAAAAAAATCAAAGAAAATAATATTTTTTATTGAAAATTAAATCTATTTTAGAGTGAATACTAATTGATATTTTAAATAAAAATCGATATATAATGATTCTTTCATTCATTATAAAAATTAATTATATAATCTGAACTATATGTTATACAAGTATCGTATACGTTACGAGGGGTATTTTATTTGCTTGGAGTCAATTTGACCACATCATTTCGAACCTCCATCGCTCGAAAATTATATAGATATTATTAGTATATATAAATTCAGAGATTTCTTCTTCAGCCCAACTAATATATATATATATATATATATATGACGGTTCCAAGAAAAGAGGAATTTAAAATTTTAAATCATGCATTATTATGATGAGAAAATTTAATTTGAAGCTGGAAATTGGGATATTCGGACTTCTCGAATGGGAAATAATGAAAGATTAATCTAATGTTCTAAAATATATCTTGTGACATCCAACTCCCACCATCGCCCACAACATGACCACCAAAAACCCTAATCCAACATGTGATATCACGGACCGAAAAAGGAAATATGATATTTTAGAAAATCTATATAACATAACGATTTTTTTTTTGTGGATCGAAATATCTTTTATTTTTTGTTGTATAATAATAAAAAGGTAATGTTCTGTTCTCGTCGTATTAAATGATAAATAGACAACAGCGAAGCGCCACAAATAAAGAAAGCATGGTTGACTACGTAACCTTTGCCAATGAAATCAGATATTTAAATTTGGGTATCCCATCTATTTTCACTCTTTCTTATAATATTCTAATGAAAAGTAATAATAATAATAATTTTTTCTTTCAATTAAATAAATAATTAGTATAACATAACTTCCAAAACATTGCCGTTTTATATTGGGAGTGATACATATTAATTACCTTTCCGTTTTCAGTTGGGTTACCATTCGTTTTTTTATTATTTTAGAATAAAAAATATAATTGGATATTTATGCCATATTTGGTACGAATCGTTTTCCCTTCTAAATGCATGTTTCCTTCGATAAAAGGGAATCTTTGTGTGAGACTCGAATACCCTTTGGTTATATGTTTATGTGTATATATACGTTTTTATGTGTATGTGGTCGTTCTGTAACGAGTTTCTAAAAATATCTTTAAAATATATATTTTTTTGTTTTTAGGTGATATGAAAGAAAAAAACAGGACTTTGGGTTTTGGTATTTATTTATGTTATTAACTTATAAAAATGTTCAATGAAGATATGTATATTAGCATGAGTATAAACACACACACACCTATATATATAGATGTATATATATGTATATGTGTGTGAATGTGTATACATATATATATATATGTTTATAAGTATGTGTACGTGTATATTATGTGTATGTGGTATGTCTCAGATTTTTTTATTTTAATATTTTAATTTTTTTTATATGTATTCTGTTATTTTAATATCTTACCAACTCAAAATGTTAAATGTATTCTGTTATTCCATATGTAAGGATTTCTATTATATATATATATATATATATATATATAATTAAATTTTACGGATATAAAAATAAATTTGTCCCTGTAAGTTGACAAATATAAAAATCTTTAATATAAGAAAAACAATTAAATATTCTTTAGAAAGGAGAGTGATTTTTATTGTTAAGACATATGAATACCATAACTTTTATAAAATTCTCAGATAAATATCTGAACTATAAAACCCTCATATAAATATATGAAGTTTTTAAAACTTCTACATAAATATCTAAACTTTTAAAAATCTCCCAAATAAAACTAAAATCTATTAACGACGTTTAATTTATAATGAAATATGTCAAAAATTGATGATTTAACATTCGGACACGTTAGACGTCGTTAAGAATATTATTTTATTTGGAAGATTTTCAAAAGTTTGGATATTTTTGTGAAAGTTTTGAAAAGTTCAAATATTTATATAAGAGTTTTATAGTTCATGTATTTATCTAACAATTTTGAAAAAGTTCAGGTATATATATTTAAATTTTCCTTATAAAAATTATACACATTTTGTGTTATGTGATACTATTGTTATATAAAAAAAATGAACAGATCTCACTAACGATGTGAGAGTAATTCACCCAATGAATATATTTCAACCGTAAGCAACCTTATATATATATATATATATATA